ATGAGGAATCTGAGATGTTATTAATATAGTCGCGAATAAAATAAATGATGAATGAAACATAATAATATTGGAAAAACAAAAGTTAGACGAAGAGCTAACTTGCCCTTAAAACATTTCACATTTAATCAGGTGAGTGTGTAGTTACTTTATATACAATCTAATATATAATTTATCATAAGTTATATGTATAATCATATATGATTAATAATATATTACACTGCATAATCATATATGATTTTAAAGTCTAATATATGATTAATCATATAAAAATAAAAACAAACATATATACTACAACTATAAAAAAAATATTAAAAGCTAGTTCACGTACCATAAGATATGTTGTTGATCCATAAAAGATGATTATTTCTCTAGGTTGTAAACCTTCTTCATCCTTATCAAACACTCGACAATAAAATCACACCATTCAATGGTACTTAAGTAAGTATCTCTTTTGATTACATAAAATGGATTCAGATTAAATTTTCCCATGCTTGTAGACTCCCAAAATGTATTAATAAATAGAACTAAAAAATTGATTCTAAAGTTGTAATCTATTGCAATGGTCCAAACAATTTCATTTTTTAACTACTTTAATCTCATTTTATCCACATTCCCAAACTGTTTCTTCCACTCAAACATACAACTAGCTTCATGATGTTCATAAATGTAATCCAAGCTTGAAAATAATCTACTACCCAATGGCAATCCTAACATATCATGAACATATTTGGTATTAACACTGACTTGACAATTCTCAAAATCCACATTCAAATTTTCAACATTAAAATGTTCAAGAACAAAAAATCAATCTTCAACGATACATAAATCATCTTCATCCATAACAAACTCCCAAATCCCATAGCCCTAACACACCCCTTCTGCTCTCTATTTAAACATTGAATAACAACCAACAACGACCCGGGTGAATATCTATTCTTCATTGAAGGAAATTCTTTTATCATAACAATTTTTTCTGTTTCTTCACGACTTTAGCTTCTATCTTTGGTTTCTTTGAGGATCCAGGGCATCTCTTAAAATTAGAATCATCTTCATCAGATAGTGGATGTTTCTTAATTACGGTTTTTACCTTCTCCAAAAAAACTTTTTTTCCCTTAACCTTCAATTCTCTTTTGGTTGTTCAATATTTTCTTTTTTAGATTTCCTTGATCGAGTTTCGACTAATTCCTTGGCGTTTTCTTTTTTGAGATGATCTTATCTGTCTTGAGCTTTCGGTTGATACCTTCTTTGAAATATTACATTTTTTACCTACAAATTTTTTAGACATCTTAGTGTTAGTAAAAAGAAAACAAAATGTACATAATCAGTTGCAAATGAACAAACATAATCACTTATGATTACAAAAACATAAACTTATCATTTTTCATCTTGGACCTTTTCTCTATAACTTATGGACTTTCCTTTTCATAAACAGAAAGATTCACTAGAAACAAAAATTAACATACTCAGTTATTAATACATAACAAAAATGCATATGATTAAACACACACACACACACACACATATATATATATATATATATATATATATATATATATATATATATATATTCATATAATAAAGTGTGATTTAAATTCACATAATCAATAATGATAACAAAACATACATTTATCGTTCGTCTTCTTTGACCTTTTCTCTTTTAGCTCGATGATAGTCATCTTCAAATTGAGATTAGTTTCCAAGATACAAAAATGAATATAATCACCTATGATTAGAAGTATATATAAACATATAAGTGCAACTACAAATATCATTCAATTCAAAAAAATTCACAAAAATTATTTATGATTACAACACATACATTTATAATTTTATTTCTTTGATGTTTTCTCTTTACCATGAGGAGAAACATCTTCATATTCATATTGGTTGCATAAAAATACAAAATGACTAAAATCAGTTATTATTTTAAATAAAAATGAACATCACTAGCTATGAATACAAAAAGAATAGAAGAATATGAATACAAAACATAACATACACCTTTTCGAACATGAATTTTTTGAACGGTATCTTTCCCTATAGCACCAGTTGTGCCACATTCGAGATTTGTTTGTTTTTTGAACTTTTTATGAACATACTTTGTTTTGAATTCCCTATATGTGAACATAAAAACAACTACTTATAACAAGAATCACCTCAAACATAAACAATATATACATTTGAACTATAAACGAACATATCATCAAAATCAAGTAAAACTAATGAAAAAAACTATTAAATCAAAACAAAAATCATCTACACCTAGAATAAAAAAAAGGGATAATGACTTGAAAGGGTAACGAACTTTCGACTTTGTTCACATTTAGTCACTAAACTTTTTTCCGTTATCTATTTGCCATTGAGCTATTGAAACTGTTTACATTTTACCCTTATGACCGGCTGTTACCGGTCATAAGGGTAAAATGTGAACAGTTTCAATAGTTTAGTGGCAAATAGATAACGAAAAAAACTTTAGTGACTAAATGTGAACAAAATCGAAAGTTCGTTTCCCTCTAAAAGTTCAATGACTAAATGTGAACAAACTTCTTATTGTATTATGTTTTAGCAAATTATTTATTTTTGTTAAATTGTAGCAACATTTGTTGATGAAGAAATCTATGAAATAAAAAAAAAAAAAACAAAACCCCGAAAAATATATTAAAAAAAACGAAAAACCGAAACCGAAATAAAAAACCAATGGTTTGGTATTTTCCAAAATAAAAAATCACAATTTTCCAATCTGATTTTACACCTCTATATAAGGTGGGTTCATACCACATGTAGAGGTGTGCTTGAGAGATGTAATATTGAGAGTGTTAGTGTGTGTTAATTATGTAACATTGAGAATGTTACACCTCTATATAAGGTGGGTGCATACCACATGTAGATGTGTGCTTGAGAGATGTAACATTGAGAGTGTTAATGTGTGTTAATTATGTAGATTTAAATCTAGATCTTTTTTTGTAGACACCTTTCATAATCGAATGCATCTCTTAAACACCCAAATCACCGTGTTCTTTGTGTGTTTTTTAATTCTGCATGCCAAACTAATTGTCATAATTCACATCAGTGAGAATGACTCATTTTTTTGTAAAACCAAAATCAGATTGGAAATTTTGATTTTTTATTTTGGAAAATGTCAAACCATTGGTTTTTTATTTCGGTTTCGGTTTTTTGTTTTTTTTTAAATATATTTTCAGGGTTTTGTTTTTTTTATTTCATAGATTTCTTCATTAACAAATGTTGCTACAATTTAACAAAAATAAATAATTTGCTAAAACATAATACAAGAGTAAGTTTGTTCACATTTAGTCATTGAACTTTTTAGAGGGAAACGAACTTTCGATTTTGTTCACATTTAGTCACTAAAGTTTTTTTCGTTATCTATTTGCCACTAAACTATTGAAAATGTTCACATTTTACCCTTATGACCGGTAACAGCCGGTCATAAGGGTAAAATGTGAACAGTTTCAATAGTTCAATGACAAATAGATAACGAAAAAAAATTTAATGACTAAATGTGAACAAAGTCGAATGTTCGTTACCCTTTCAAGTCATTATCCCTAAAAAAAACTACAGTTAAATAGTTAAAGCAAACATTCACTAGGAAAATAACAACTATTTCTAGGGCTCTATGCGATAACGATAGATGAAAAATAACAACTTATTTCTAGGGCTTGATACGATAACGATAGAAAATAGAGTTTTTAACTGAAAATTTTGAACGAGAAAGGAGAATGAAATCTGGGCGCTTGCACTATGAGTAATCTATACAGTAGCCTTTATCATTCAATGTGTATAACTGATTTGATGCGTGTTTAAAATGACAATAATAACCCTAACAACCTGACTAACATCGTTAACTTTAAGAAGTGCCATAATATTACAATTATGCAACCGTATTGTTTTGTTTACCACACATCGGAAAAACAATTGGCCATGAGACACTCTCAACATCTTTAATTATATATATATATATATATATATATATATATATATATATATATATATATATATATACACACAAAATAGGAACATCTTATAAGCATATTTGTCGAAATTGTGGCATTTAAAGGATTAAAACCATGGAACCAACATAGTTACTGAGAGTGCATTCTTATCTATATAGAAACCATCAACCTATTAACGTATAAAAGGATGTTTGCGTCCTTTTATTTCCATGTTCCAAAAAAGGCAACATCTTAATTAGGCTATATTAATTACCCTTACCTAGAAGACTTGCTTTTCATTTAAAATAAGTATCTACGAAAATGAATGACTAAATGTCTTAATTAATGTAGATTATGCTGAAATTAACTTGATCGAGAGCGCCAACATATAACAACGGCCGAAACAAATTAAGAATACTACACATCTTCTTGAAAGATACCAGTATGTAATAAGCAATGAAAATACAAGGGATATTGTTATATTTTCTTAAGAAGGAAAATAATATAGCTATCTCTCCAAGAATAGAACTACAATACTAATCAACACATCACTGTTGTAGAATTAAGTTAATATAATCATTAGAGAACTAATTTCAAAAGTTTTTATGTAGCCATGTAGGTGTTTTAACACTGTCAATTGTTTGGGTTGACCCAGTTCGATTTACCTCACTTTAAAAAGCATTAATCCAATTAGTTCTAAAAGAATGCACCATTTTACTTTAACACATTATCTAATAAAAGTATTTGAGTACTTTTAAATACCTAAAGTATGGTAGTTTTCATGTCCAAGGCTAAAGGCTTCCCTTGAATGAGCCCATAAGTTGGTGAATTTATACAAATATATTCTTGCTAATCAATCAAGCCTTTTGATTAAGTTCATAGTATCTGCATAACTGTGACAAATATATACTTGATTGGGGGGAATCCTATTCTCAGTATTTGTGGATTGCGTAATTGAAGACAATAAATTTGAAACACCATAATTTCAGATGTTAGTCGAGGAAAATTTCAAGTTAATATCCTTAAACATATATAGTAGTAACTTAACATCCCAATCCATCAATCGTTTCTAACATAATTCTATTCCGATGAAAGTTTCAAAATATCTAATGGATCATATATAATAGTAACTTTTAATACTACCTAGCTCTAGCTATTTTATTTAATTGCCCATGGTGGTCGCCAACTTCAACTTTCCCTAGCCATGCAACGGTCCTGCTGCATTACCTTATTCAACAATTGCGTTATACACATTAGCAACATCTTTGGCCTGCAGTGGTTTTTCTAGAAACATGAGCGCCCCTCCATCCATGCATCTGTTAAAGAATTAGTGGTATTAGGGCTAGCGACGGAGTTTTTTAATTTGGAAATTGTGATTTTAGATTTCTGTTACTTTTTGATGCGCTCTTCATTTGCATCAGCGGACAATATGACCACAGGAACATTGCTCAGCTCTGATTTCTGTCAAAACAATTTCAACTTAGTTTGATGCAAATGAAATATGCATGTTAATACACATATATACCAACCTTAAGTTCGAGGAGTAGCTCGTAACCACTAATTCCTGTCATATCATGATCAGTTAGTATGAGATCCACATCGACCTTCACATCCTGTCATTTTGTCAAAAAGTTAGATGTGTTTAGACTAATCAAATTACAAGTCATTCCTTATGATATATTGATCTGAACAAATATATGCAAATGTATGGAATTACCCCTACATTCTCTCCAGTTAATCCAAGGAATTTGAGAGCAGCTTCTCCACTTTCAACAGCAGCAATAACTGCAAACATAGATTATTATTATTATATCATAATTAATCTATACTCATTATACAACCGAATCTCTCCAAATTGACGTTTAATATCAAAGATTAATTCAGTTATACCTTCAAATGATGAAGTCCGGAGCATCCGTGAGGCGTACATAAGCTGCCCCCTTTGATCATCAACCACAACTGCACGTAATTTCTTCATTTCGAAAATGCAGAGAGAGACAGACAAGAAATGGAAACTGAAAATGGTGGTGTGATGAAAGAAATGGAAATGGCCCCTTTAACCCTTCGTTTGATGTTCTATTTATATTTGGATGCAAATTTTGTCAAACCTTTTTATTTAATACTTTTCTAATATTATGTAAACTGAATTTTTTAAATTGGTTTTTTACTTAATTAATTGATTTTGCTAAATATTCATTTTACTCTATGATGTCAAATATCAAATTCATAGCGACCATATGTTCAGTGGTGAAATTAAAATGAATTATGTACCGACTCACTTACCATATAGTTGTTTACTAAAATAATAATTATATTTAAATTCAGTTACATCTGTACAACCACGCTTTCATATTTTATGTGACATCGACTAGTTCATGGCATATGTAAAATTGTTTTATAATTTTAAAACGACAATCACCAAAAGTTTAAAATGGAAGGTCTTTTTTTTCATAACTATTACATGAGTGTTTCAGAGTTAAGATGTCAAACTATCGTATAGTAAGGTTTAACAAAGATATCAACCGCAAACTATACAATGTATTTTGATGTGGTGCATTATACACGGTGTTTGCAATAGCCATCTTGAAAATGTATAATTAATTTTAGAAAAATCCATTTGATATGAGGTTTTGGACTATGTTTAGAGGAATGAGTCTAGTATAATATATATGTTTATAAAGGAATTCTTGGGTTTTGGTGACCAATTTTACGGATTCGTTCAGATTGTTGATCAATTTTTATTGTAAACTTGTAAAAATCATACAATAATAAAGAAAAATCGTTGGAACGTGTATTTTATATCCCTAAAAAGATAAGGATATGTTCTTTAATAATAAGTATTAAACTTTCTAAAAACTGGGATAAGAGGGGTAAATCTGACCATAAACCAATTGCTATCACGATAATAAAATTGAATAAAAATATATTATGAAGTATTAATAAATAATACTTGAAATATGAGTTAAGTAAGATTATTAATATGGTTGCAGGTGTTCAGAGAGCTGGAAATCCATCTTACTCACTTCAGTGGTTATATTCTATGTTTTGCTACTTCGAGTGAGTTATATTAACTCTCTTATTATATGGACCATGTGATTAGGGTTAGAGTTCTTGACACAAGCCTCTCAGTGGAACGACCCAAATTCCCATCCATCATCGAGGTTAGTGTTATGTTAGGTTTTATTCTTTAACTAACATTTTCCTTGATTAAAGTTAAGTTATGAGGACCAAATTATAAGAAAATGATTTTTGTTTATGTATAAGGGTCAAGGGGTTATTTTGTTATACTTTGAGGACCTAGATTGTAACTTGTGAAGCATTTAAGAAATGTTAACCCTAAAATTCATGTTTATCACTCTATTTGCAGCCATCAAAACTCTAAAGTGAGAGAGAGTTCTTGAGTCCTTGGAATAGAAGTGAATAAAGTGAAGTTGTTGTCCATTTTGGTGGATTCTCGGTAGTGATTCATTGGATTGTTTCCCCTCTACCTTGTTCTTTGTCTCATCACGAATTTCCAGAAGATGTGTGGTTCTTCCATTGTGTTCTCTTATGTTCCTATAACTCGCACTCAAGAGATAGCCATGGATTGTGCAAAATCCATGGTGCAAAGTGTTGTATTGATCCCTAAAGTGTTCTAAGCATCATGGACACTTAATCATGGTTTGGAAGGGTTGAAATCTTCCGAAAATGGATTTTGATCGGACCTAGAGTGGATTAGAAAGGGTAGAAGGTTGGAATCAAGTTTTATAATTTCCAGTGTGTTGACTTGATTTGTGATCTGTTGGCTAGTTGTGACGGGAGCCTATCCTACCCGTGATGTAAATTTTTTCTTTGTGTCAACCATTTTCTGTTTTGAGTCTCGTTTCTAATCGGGTTGTTATGTGTTCTTTTAGGGTGCTTAAGTGCTTTATGGGGAGTGCTTTCCTCTTTTCATAGGGTCCCAAAACTTGGACTTGAGGTGAGTCAATCCTTGTTGCACTTTGAGTACTTTATCGGGGAATTCTCATATCCTAGGATTACTTAAGTGATTCTTAAGGTGATATGTATAATGGGTGCCCCTGTTTGTGTATGATGTATGTGATAGAGTATGAATACCCTATTGTGGAAGAAGTATATAGGTTGTATTGCATGCTAGATACATTGTATGATGTTTTTGTATGAATGGTGTGTTGGATTATATGTCTAAGCCATTAACTAAATTATTATAAACTTAAATTATTAGCAAAGTTCTTTTGGGTTACCCTCAAACCTAGTAAAAGACTGGAGTGCTATTTAGAGAGAGACTAATTTATTAAATTATTATATGATTAATAAATTAATAAGAAATCAAAAATAAATAATTTATTAATATGCTTTGAGAAAATATATTAATTATAAATTATATTATTTAATTAATAATTAATAAGAAATCAACTAGAATTCATTTTGGGATTAATTGGATTAATTAAAAGTAAAAGGATTAAAAGCGTTAATGTCCAAAAGTTGAATACTGACTAATTCTAGAACCTCCATAGGAGAGAGGACGGTTCTAGAGGGGTCAATGGAGATTTTCTAGGAGTTCTAGGAAGCTTAGGGTTGCTTGGGGGAAAAGAAAAGGGTTAGAGTTATCCAAAAGGAAACTTGTCTTTTATGCACCTCCTTAAGCCCTATAAATACCCCAAGGCATAGGGTTTCGGATTGATGAACCAATGAATCGAGTATTGAATTAATCAGAGTATGAATTCAAGTATGAATGCAAGATTGAACACCAGATGTAAATATGATCTTGTTTTAGCTTGATTTACGCTTTCGAATGTTTACAGAGAAAAATAGACAGGTCTATAAAAAAACTCTTATCTAACTCTAGTAAATAACCCCTATTTATAGGGAACCGAAAGCGTACAAAAAATATACTAAGGCATTGACTCTAAAGCTTCAAATAAAAGCGCCCTAGTAAAATACATTACAAAACATTCGAAGAGTACAAAATATATTTCGACTAATTACAACAATTCGACCCTTACAATCTCCCCCTTTGTAATCATAGTCGAAGTCTTCAATTCGTAAGAAGTGTGATGGAATACAGTAACACTCTTCGAATCTTCGTGTACCAGGGGATAATCTTCTTCAGCTCTTTCTTGTCTCCTTCATTGTTCTTCTTGCAATTATTCATACAAACAATCAAGTTCGTATATTGAGATGTTGAATATCTCTCTACTTCACTTGCTTGGAATAAGAACCGTTTAGCTTTTCCAGCTTTGTCTTTTCCTGCGAAGACCATTCCAAAAGGCTTCAGGCAAATTTCACCATCAGCATATTTCTTCAATTCCGCCTGAGTCTTCGTAGGAGCCATCGGTGCTTTTATTTCCATTCCTTTGGCAGTAGCTAATTCCACATCTGTTAGTGCCAAGCACTCATAATAGTTTTCGATAAAAATCTTGATGTGAACAACTCCAAGCTTGAATTCAGCTGGTTCAGTGTTTTGAAGGAATGAAAATGATTTGTCTTTTAGAAGTAATGCAACTTGTATAAGATCACAAGTTCATCAATGGAAAATCAGCAACAGTGAATTCGCAAATATTTCCATTTGCCCTGGCAACCACATACTTAACATTCTGGACTGTGTTTTCGAAAATCACATCCTTTTTCATACTTATGACCTTCTTGATTTTTATTAAAGACCAAACTTCCTCAGGGGCTTTTCCAAGAACAGCATGAAAACGAATTTTCATGTGTGTAACTTCATCCTTATTTTTAAAATTCCCTTCTGCTTTGAATTGAGGCATGATAAACATCATTTCGTTTATGGGAAAATCCAGCTGGCTTGCATCAGTAATCGTGACCAAATAACTCTGCTTTGGTTTCTTCTCGAATGTATACATGTGATTAAAAGCAACCTTGGCCTCAATTGTTTCGTAATTATAGTGTTTAGCTGGATCACCTTTATCCATTCCCTTCGGATCACTAGCATGCTGAGTCATAATGCTTTGAATAATCCTCAGTTTTTCAAGTTCAGCTTCTGCTTCAGCCTTGTTTTCCTCTTTCAACTTTTCCACTACAATTGATTTCCCTTTATCTTTCAAGGCTGGATTGACAATTGTCTCTTTTGGATTCGAACCACTCCCACCAGTTTCTGAAGTTTTACCAATAACAATTCCTTTCGAAATTGGTCTTGCAATTGGCATTGTTGTTACAACAGTTGAAGTAACCAGTTCAGCAGAAACTATTACTGGTTTTGTTGTTGGGATTTTTGAAGAAAAAACTTTTCCCACAACTTTCGCATCCTCGCCACTAGCCTTCGACTCATTAGTTTTTCTTTCTCCCCCTTGCACCCCTGTGAAAACAGGCGGGGCATTTGTTGTTGGAAGAAGGCTTGAGATGAGAAAGAGAGGAGCAAGTTGCTTATTGAGAATGGCTTCGAATTGGATAAACTTCTGGGATAAAAATTCAGGAGTAATCAATGGAGAAGAAACCGACCTATCATAAATCTCTTTTAACTCCTTAAGCAACTTAAGCACTTCCTGAAAGCTTGCACTTTCGGATGTTGAAAGTTGAGTTATTTGAGGACTCAAACTTTCATACAATTTAACAAATCGTGTGACTGCATCACAAATGATATCAACCTTTTGATTTAAGGATGCATAATCTTGTTGAACAGTGACAATTTCTTTTTGCATATCTTCACGAAGTTCGTGAATCTGCAAATTTACATCCTCCCTGACCTTCTTCACTTCTTGCACAAAAAGAACATGCCTTTCCTTTGCGACATTCTTCAAATTTTTCACATCACTGGTAAACATTGAATTTTGAGATTTGATCCGAAGTTCATTATTTTGATCATTATAATCAACCTTCTCCAGAATTCGAGACTCAGAGTCAGTAATCATTCCAGATACTTTGATAACCACTCTGGCTTCGAGCATTTTCAACAGTGAATCAACCTCCAAACTAGAAACAGATGAACCACCCCCTAGATCTGCTTGAGATTGAATTATTGAATTCAATTTCTGATTCAGAATTTTGAACTGCTTCATGGTCATCAACATATGATCGGGAAACTGTTCTT